AAGTTGCCCCCGTTGCACGCCATACTCTCGCAGTACATCGGCCTACCCCTTCCGCAGAACCTGGCCTCGCTGAGCACGGTCCTCCCGGTCGGACTCAACCCAGCCTCGACCCTCAACCACAACAACGTGAACGGGCACACGCTAGGGACGCACATACCTGGACACCCGTTGAACCTCGGTGTGCAGAACCTCCCGCAAAATTTGAGCTCGAAGCACGACAAGGAGGAAGACTCGGCCTCGTCCGACGACGAGATCAGGCGGCAGAGCGCGGAGGTGTTGAGAGTGAAGGCGGAGGAGGTTTTACGCAAGGTGGATAACTAACTGTGAAATATATGGAGAATTTATGGATAGCCTGATGTAAATAAATTTGCGGGTATGGTGGTATTGGTAGATGAACGTTTTTTTTTTCTTTTTTTTTTCCGAAGATGTCGGTGATTCACGGGATTTAGACGCCGATGCCTTGACTTCGTAGCGAAACAATAGGGAATGAAATCATGGATGATGGATGATAAGTGAGTGGAGAGTGGGGGGATAGGAAGAACCGGAGAGAATTTGAATTCCCAAGAATTTCGTTCGTGCATTATTTGGATTCTTCTACGAAACGCAACAAACACTAGTCTGTCTGAGATTACTCTACGGATACTTTGAGTTTGGGTTACGAGAAGCGTGTTGTTGAAAACCGCTGGCGGTTTTTCGACGATTTTTAAGTTACCTTTTTCTTTCATTCTAAAATTACACCTTTTATTCTTACGTTTTATTATTATTACCATTATTATTATTATTATTAATTTTTTTTTCCTTTCTTGGGTTGAGAATTCATATACACGAATATGTGTGAAAAAATGCAATATCGGAGGATTTAACGAATAATGTCGCGGACAATTACGTGGTTTCGAAAATTACTAGATTTTTGGTACCTTTCGCCACTCTTAAAGTGATAATCTTAAAGTAATAACGTGATAATTTCGATTGAAAAGCACAAGATTGTTCGCGATATTTTCTCGACTCGTGTCGACGAATGTGGTAATCGTAACGAATGTCTCAACACTGGACACTGGAAAATTTTTTTTAAAGAATCCGATTTTATAGAAACCAGCAACAAAAAGGAAAACGAACTATTATCGGAAGAAGAATTTTTGTAACATACATGTATCATACGCAAACGTGCATATATATATATATATTATATATAGATCACGTATAGTTTCTTTCATGTAAATATGTAGGTAATTAATTATCTCGAGAGAAATATATGACGCTACTAAGATTTATCACACTTGTCATTTATCCGATGAATTCCGTCGTCGAATCGTTCTTCGTCGAACCATTCCAAAAATCGATACGTCGCCAACCGTAATCAAATAAATCCAGTTTCAATACAAAACGTGATACCAAATTTCTTTTCCATTCCGCCCGATTAGATGCCTCTCTCTTCCCTTCCCTTGCAAGAAGCACGGGAATCGCGCGAATAATCGCGCTAATGAACGTATTTTCGCCAAACCCTATTTCTAACCCTAATTTTCCTCGTGCGAGAGCGCGATTAACCACGGTTAACGCGGTTAACACGCGACGAAATCGCTTCCGCGTCATTAATCACGAAAAGAATTCGGTATTCGGGGCAACGTGGCGGCGTTACGACGCCGATTTCCTGAATTCTAGATCGGCAGCTGGGCCTGCTGCGGTCTCCGCCCTCGTATGCGCAAACGGGGCGCTTCGATTCCCACGGATTCTTTTCCCGTAAACATCGGTGCGCCGTTTAATCGCGCCTACCGCGATTATTCCGCTCTCCGTCCGCTCGACTCGTCCCTTCCCACGTGCCCTGGCCCGGCCACACCACCTCGTCCCGTCCTGGCGCATGACACGCACAACGGCAATTACAATCCAACCAATTTATACGGCTTATCAGAAATTTATCTTCGGTAAGGACGAAGCGCGTAGCGACGACACCACCGCGCGACAATTATCGTTATCGTTATTGAACGGAGCTGAGGCGACGCGGAGGGGTGGGACCCGAGGGAAGTAATTATTGCGCCACCTGCCCCGGGACGATCGTCATCGTTGCGACTCGATAAGATCGGGCAGATAATGCCACGAGTTTGCGGGAAATGTTGTGCTTTGTTTCCTGCCCGAGTTTTTCTGTTCTCTGATATTCCAACCTTCTTCCTCTTTTCCCTTTCTTTTCGTCGTCGAGTCGTGGGAGTTTTTTTTTTTTACATTCGTGTTTCCTCCTTTTGCTTTTCAACTTTCCGACGAATTAGGACGATTATCCTAAGTTTTCCACGCCGATTGATCGAAATCTTGATTGATACGAATTTTATTTATCTTTGCGGAAGAATCTTTACGACGAGATTTTTATAGATCTCGTGGAACAGGGACGGCAAACGGTGGATTTTGGAAGGAAATACTTAAGAATAATGGTAGTGAGCCTACACTTGAGATATTTCGCAGACATTTTATATTCGAAACATTAGAAAGAGAGCGTGCTTTGCGTGCTTTCGAAATTCCTCTCCCCTTGCATTTTAGCTCAATGACCGTGTCGCATAATGCTGTAAAGTTCCGCTAAATGGAACCTCTAGAAGGAGAAAGAAACGCTCTGGGTCCACTCTCGCCCCGCTTTCATTCACCGATGTCGATTCGTAAGCGTTTACACCTATACCTATTTCCATGCGATGCACTCAACTATCGATAATCGTCAAGGGTTAAGCTCGGCTACGAGAGATGAAAAATTGCATCGTACAATCGTGGAAAACAATTGTTCGTTTGAAAAATTTTCAAACTACAATATTTTCTTCGGCCACGCTCGAATCGCGAGATATAAAAATGGATGTAAAACGTGGAAACAAAGGGTGGTCGAAAAACTTCATTTTCGAGTGCAATGCACGATGGTCCGCAGTGCTTCGCGATACATTGACGGCGTGAAAAATTGCGAATTGCTCTCAGTCTCAGTACGGACTTGGAATATTCCGAATGTAATGAATTTTTAATAAAACGGTCCATTACAGGAATTTAATAAACGCGTTTATTATTCGTTGGAATTTAATTACCTCATTACAAGTTCACGCGGCGTTTTTCGAAAACTCCGTTCGCACGGAAGGAATCGGTCCGAAAACGAATAGAAACGTTTGCTCATCTTCTCTTTCCTTTCTTTTTTTTCTTTCTTCTTCTCTTTTTCCCTCCCTTTTTTTTTCCTCCGCGTATAATCATATGTTTTAAGGGGTTGGACGAGGGATCAGAGTTGAATACCACTGATCGCGATCGCGACGGCTACGAAGGACAATTAGATTAAAAGCAGCGCCTCTCGCGGCGGCTTGAGATCCATTAGTGCCCATTGTACCACCCCATTTGTACCCCTAACGTACCACCCCCGTGTGCCGTTACTTCAGCCCCTTCCACCTTCTCCCCCTGAGCACAGCCACCATCTCGAAGCCAGGTACTTATTCTCAATAGTAATATGCTCACTTCATACTTCCATCCCCTCCTACCCCCTCTTTTCCCGCCTTCGACATCCACGAACACGTCTACGTTGTCCTTCTCTTCCTCTCTTTTCCTCCGTCCGCACATACGTTTGGTTCCGTTATACCTTCTTTCCCTCCTCTCTCTCTCTCTCTCTCTCTCTCTCTCTCTCTCTCTCTCTC